ACCAATAGGTTAGCTTGCTGCTGGGGTCCGGCCAATTGGGACTGAGCGAGCTGGGCTGGACATGCCCTGGAACCCTCCCGTGGTCCCTCCTTGGCTGGCCAACCTCCCGCATCCCTCCCCGGCCCCAATTGTGCACCGGTGGGGTCCCTCAGCCTGGCCTATGCCCTCTTGCAATCCAGGACCCCTCGGGAGATGTCGGAGAGCCAGTTTCGGCCCGATCCCACAGGCCAGGCTTGTGCCTCATCTATACCTTTGGCAACAGGGAAGAGAGCTCAGTGTAGGTTTCAACAAGGCCTGGGAGATGCTTTCTAAAAATTCATCTCTACTTGGCATAAACTATTTTTTTCTCTTCTTAGTGAGAACCAAATATAGAACAAAATATAGAACAAAGAAATTGGGGTGGTTTTCTGTCATGTGATTCAATGGCCAGCTTTTCAAAGTTGTAGCAGTAAAGGAATTGTCATTTCACTTTTCATGACAGTTCTTTCCCACACACAAGAGCTCTTCCTGAGAAAGAAAAACTTCAATCCTGCATACCTCCAAAAGCTACTTTAGAATCTGGGTTAGCGAGCAGGAAACCAATCTCCACTGAAGGTTAGGATTATCGCACAGTATTTTAAAGACCAGGCAAGTTTATTATCTCAGTAAACCTCAATGCCACTTGCCAATACATTCTCAGTTGATAATTTATTCATTTTCTAAATTAACCCTCAACAAAAACTCAACTTGCTCAGAGAGGAATAACTTTCTGTTAACTACAGATGTCATTAATGCTGTGTTTGGCTGACTCAGCACTTCCTCAGGATTAACTGGCTGCTCTTCCACAGCCACTGTGCACCCTATTAGCCTCCCAGTCTTTGTACTGATCACTCAACATTAATTTGTAAACACATTGAATAGCCAAGCTTGTCAATTATGCAAGAAAAACCAGGGACAACACTAGCATAAGGTAAATAAATCTTTTGGCGGGGGGGGGGAGGGGGGGGGGACAAAAACAAAAACCTTTTCTTTGTATTTCCACCATGTTTTCAGAGACAAAGAGGTAAATCATGACCCTACTGGCTATTTAATCAACAGAACTCTATTATTTAACAAATAATATACAAGCTCCAAGACCTTATACATTTTTAGTAGAATTAAGCACTTGATTTGTTCACACCAATTACATAAATGGTCACCATTGTAAACAGAGCCCCTGACTATGAGCTGAGCTGTATGTGACTCAGTTGCCAGGATCCCATTAGAGCAGGAGCAACCTTCTTTCTCTAGGCAGCTCTTTCATCTTAAAGAGAACAATCTCAATGAGTCTCAATGGTTTAGACAGTGTGGCAAGTGACTTAAGTCATCCTTACCTACAGCTTCTACACTATTACAGAGGCCGGAATCTAACTTTCCTTTAATAACCCCTAGAAATGGCTTTTCTTTGGAGACAAGCTTCCTTGGCAAGAAGTTGAAGTCAATAAATGTGATACCCAAAATGCAGTTCCCATCCCAATCAAACACAGAGCTATATTGTGGCAGGATAGCAAGAAGCTAGGAAAATTCCTGAGGAAGTGGAATGGGGAAACTGAGACAAGAAAATTGAACAAGGCTAAACAATTTGAACAACTTACAGCCAGCTTGTGAATCATAAGACCTTATATTCCCCAATCAAGGACACTTGAAAGCAAATACATCCTTCCCTAACCAGAGAATACAGAGCTTAAATCAACATTGCCTGGGAAATAGAGAACAAGGATCCAATTAATACCATTTGTGCCAGCTAAACCCAAGGGCATATGAAGTCAGGGGAACAAAAAACAAAACCCCATTAAAGCCAGGTAGACCCAAGATAAAAGTAAAACAGTAAAGAAGACCAACGAATAATCCAAAACTCCCCTTTACACTCATTTTTATGCATCAGCATATTAAAAGCGCACCTGAAAAGCAGATAAATATTCTGTTAAAACCTTCCCCTAAGACTCTCACCCACAGGAAAAAAACACACGAAACAAACAAAAAAACAAGATGAAAAAGCCTCAAGACAAGGACCCAGTGCAGAATTACTCTAGAGCAGGGGTGGGGAACCTTTTTCCACCAAGGGCCACTTGGATATTTATAACACCATTCACTTGATATACTTGTAATTCATTTAAGGTAACTTTATGTTGCTATGAAGAAAGCTCCTACATTTATTGAATTTCAAGTCCTGCCTGTAGTTGCCTTGGCAGGGCCAGACCAAATGATTTTGTGGCCCTTATATAGCCCAAGGGCCAGAAATTCCCCAACCCTGCTCTAGATCATGCCCATGCCCCTTCCCAGACATGACCTTTTTATTTCTTCCTAAACTCTAAGGATCCCCATAAGACTTACAACCAGGGAAGTGGTGGCCAGCAGCAGCTCCTCCCAGGCTAACTTCTGACCCTGTCTCCAAGGCCCCCTTTCCTCAGACTTCCCAGTGAGATAAAAGCAGCCCCACCTTGGCTCACTTCTTTCCTATAACATTTCTAGAGGCCAAAACAGAGCACTGCCTAGTCTCTCTCTTTCTGTGTCTTTTACCCTAAGTCTTTCCTTTGTTTCATTGTCCCCAGCATTAATAAATGTATTCTTGAAATCACCTGGGTTTGTGTTGTGAAATCTTTCCTACATGAAGTCAAGAATCCACACACTACAGGCCAGCCTGTAGCAGACCAGCTCCAGGCCAGTCTCTGTCCAGTAACATAACTACATGACGCTTCCATCCTTAGTAGGCTCCTGGCCATGGGAGTTTGATGAACGCTGACATCATTAGTTTGGAAACTAGTTTCTTGAATTCCATCTCATCTGTGAGAGCAGTTCTCTCCAAACTGTTGTGAAGGCGCCCTCTTTGCTGATGTCCCAGCAGCCCGGAGTCCACTGGGCTCTGTTCTATGGAGTTCTTAGCATGTAGGTCACAGCTTTGGCTGATAAGAAGTTTGAGGAGCTCTGGCCAGTGCAGCTCAGTTGGTTGTGGGTTCAAACCCTGGTCGGGCATGTATGGGAGGCAACCAATTGCTGTTACTCTCACATCAATGTTTCTCTCTCTTCTCTCTCTCTCTCTCTTCTCTCTCTCTCTCTCTCTCTCTCTCTCTCTCTCTCTCTCTCTCTTTCTCTCTCTCTCTCTCTCATCTCCCTTAACCACTCTCAAAAAATAAAAATCAAACATATCCTCGGGTGAGGATTGAAAAAAAGAAATTTGGGGAGAGGTTCCCAGAATACAACTCCACGAAAGAACAGCTCACAGACTCAATCATTTCCTTTGAAAGGACTTCATTGAATTCCTTCTTCATACCTATTTGAGGATAAGACAGGTATTAATATTTATGTCAGCTTCAACTTCCTCATCTTCATCCAGGTCCTGCAGTCTCTTCCAGGCAGCTTCCACGGGGCCTCTCCAGTCTCCTGACCCATTGCTTGACACTGAAAGGTCTCTTGTGCTGAGTGCAAAAGGGCCCCCAGCGTGCAGAGCCCTCACACTGGGACCCACAGAATACTGCTCCGGTCAGGCTTAGCTTTCTTACTGGACAATCTCCCTCACCATCATGTTCGGCCCATGTTTGTTTCCTCAGTGAACTGAAGCTCCTCTAGACCTTAGAAGCCTGCCAGGTTCCTCAGAAATGCACCCAGGCAAATGTGGAGCTGCGCCCCTCTCTGGCTAACACCTCCCCCAGTCTGTGAGCTGCAGCCACAGTGACTTTTCAGCCCTGACCCCCAAACACATGTTTTAATTGGATTGTAACCCTCAGTGCTCATGTTGTCCCACAGATGGGGTTGTTTCCCAATTGCATAAGAATATGGGATAAGAAAACTTCTGAACATGAATAACAAAATGTCAATCCTATCTCTGCCTCTTCCAGCCTCTAGAACACACAAATGCCTATTTAGCTATATGGAGTAGCCAACACACCAGGGCCTTGTAGAGGACAATTATTACTGTTTGCTATCCACTAGCATCAAATGTTCCACGAAGAGAATTGGCATTTAATATACAGAAGATGCTCTAAGACAGCTATTTTTATTTCAGCTGTGCATAATTAAATTTCCTGTGCCCTACCCTCAAAGTTTCTGATTTGGTATGCATAGAATTTAGAAACAACTGAGCTGGCTTTTGGAACCATTTGCTAAGGAGCATATCTCTGTCCCCATCTTTAGCTATGCCATTCAATGGCTGGACAATTATCGAAGGGTTTGTGCTTATTCTTTTTAATTTTTCTTCTACATGAACCTCTCCAACTCTAAGACAGTAAAATGTTATACTGGCTTGCCTCACTCTACATTTCTACTGGTGTTGAAAGCAGAAGTGGCCTGAAGTCAAACCTTGCTGTCTTCTGTGAGAGGCTCAACCCACTGAGGAAATATCATTAGATTCTCCAGGATGAAGACCATAAAGCAGAACCACATACAGTGTTGCCTTGACTTATGAGTTTAATTCGTTCCGTGACGGAGCTCATAACTCAAATTACTCGTATGTCAAATCAATTTTCACCATTACAATGAATTGAAATGCCATTAATCCATTCTGGACACCCAAAAAACACCACAATTGTTTTGTTAAATGTTTTTAAATAAGAAAAATGTATTTAAAAATAATGAATATTGTATAAAATCACAATACTGAACAATAGAATGTAGTGCAATAAACTTGTTTTATTAAGTTTAATGTACAGCATTTACCTTGGAGATCAAACGACTTAAAGATGCTGATGGACTTGGAGGAGAAAGGCTGAACTGAATAACTGAATAACTGAATCTTATTTGCTGATTTTTGCCCTTTTCGCCACGCTTTCATCACTTTCATCTACAGGAGTTTTCGATAAAAACCTGTCCAATGAGATCTGTTTCATCCTCCCTTTCAGAATATTTCTGAAATGAGTTAGGCAAGTGTCATTAAATAGCTCCATCGCACGCCCAGTTGCAATTTTTTCTGGGTGTTTCTTTTGAATAAAGTCTGAAAGTTTCTCCCACATTCCCAACATTTCCTTTATCTCACTTATAGAGATAACCTCCTCCTCCTCCTCCGTGTCATCTATTTCCTGCAAAACCTCCGTGTGCTGCTGCGTCTGTAGCTCCTTTAGTTCCTGCGTTGTCAGTTCCTCAGAGTGCTCCTCGATGAGCTCGTTGATGTCACCTTCATCCACGTCCAGGCCCATGGACTTGCCGAGGGATACAATCTCCTCCACCACTGCCGCTTCGGGTTCAAGGCTTTCAAAATCCATTTCAGACACTACCTCAGGCCACAGCTTCTTCCACGCAGAAGTCAAGGTCCTCTTTGTAACACCCTGCCAGGCCATATCGATAACTCTGATGTTATAGTGGTCCTTCCAGAACTCTCGAAGGGTGAGGTTTGTGCTCTCCGTCACCTCAAAGCAGTGGCGGAACAGGTGTTTGGTGAAGAGCTTCTTGAAATTAGAAATCACCTGCTGGTCCATTGGCTGCAGGATAGGGGTGGTGTTAGGTGGAAGGTAGAGAACCTTTATAAACTTGAACTCTTCGAGGATGTCACCTTCCAGGTTAGGTGGGTGAGCAGGTGCATTGTCCAGGACAAGAAGAGCTTGCAGGGGTAGGTTATTTTCCTGGAGATATTTCTTAACGTCAGGACCAAAGACCAAATTCACCCACTCCACAAAGATCTGCCTGGTGACCCACGCCCTCGGGTTTGCCTTCCACATAACCTGCAGTTTTTCTTTCAGAATCTTATGTGACTTAAAGGCTCTGGGGTTTTCCAAATGATAAACGAGCAGCGGCTTAATCTTGCAGTCGCCGCTGGCATTGGCACACAGTGCGAGGGTTAGCCTATCCTTCATGGGTTTGTGGCCTGGCATCCTCTTCTCTTCTGCCTTTGTATAAGTTCTCCTTGTCATCTTCTTCCAGAAGAGTCCTGTCTCATCACAGTTGAAGACTTGCTGGGGGATGTATCCTTCTGCTGCTATAATTTCAGCAAACGTTTTGAGGTAATCCTCACCTGCCTTTATATCCCTGCTCGCTGCCTCACCATGTCTGACAACAGAGTGAATGCCGGTCTTCTTTTTAAAATTTTCAAACCAGCCCCGACTGGCTTTAAACGGCTCGCCCGATGCCTCATCTATTGAAGTGCCTGGGGTCTGCTGCAGCAAATCAGCGTAAATAGCTCGTGCCTTCTCGCAGATTATAGCCTTCGTCACGGTATCTCCTGCGAGCTGCTTCTCCGTTAACCACACCATTAGCAGCTTCTCCATATTTTCATGGATAGATGTCCGCTGTTTAGAAATTATTTTAACGCCCTTGGCTGGAGTTGTAGCCTGTATCGACTCCTTCTGCTTCAGTATGGTGCAGATCATAGAAGTGCTACGCTCGTACTGCTTCGCCAAGTCGATTACACGCACACCTTGGTCATGTTTTTCGATAATTTCTTTCTTTAATTCAATGCACATCATCCACTTCTTCTTCTCAGCACTGTCCTTCGCACTTACTTTCTTCAGATCCATGGTTGACAAAACGAAGGTTTGCAAAATAACTGCAAGCACAAATGCGAGCACAACACTGATGCTTCAACTAAGAGCTAACCGCTTAAAGTGAACGAGTGAGACACGTGATGCTGGGCTGATGTTGTGGCGTTCACTGTGACGTTCGCTGCACCAACTAGCGGTGGGGTATCTGAAGCTGGCTCATAACCCACATTTTAGCTCACAACTCAAAGCAAAAAATCTGCCGAGAGATGGCTCCTATCTCGAAAAACTCGTTAGTCAGGACACTCGTAAGTCAAGGCACCACTGTACTTTAAATTGCAGCAATCGTTCAAAGACTCGATAACTTTTTCAAAGCAAGCTAAGCAAATGTTTACATGGGTAAAGGAGGGCAAATAGGAGTCACACATTTCCGATGCTTTGGCATTGCTTTCTGTGTTGACTAAAACTGATTCTCAGAAAGGTACTCCTACAGAATAGTTTCCCAATGAGATGGGCTAACATATGCTCAAGTTTAACAACATTGTTTTCCCAATTACTTAAAAATATGAGATGAATTGAAATATTTTCTCAATTTTAATATTTTTCTCCAATAGTGTTCACACATGTGGAAGCTGCTGCTGCTTACCTGTTAACACAAGTCACCAATCACTAAATCTAATAAGTAATCAATAGCAGACAAATATTGACTGGAAATTGAGAATCTGGTAATCTTTCTAAATCTGATTATATTTTTTCCCAAACACATAATTTCATGTCTGAAATGATTCCAGATTTCATGAGGAAATAACTTCAACATTAGTGGATTTCTAAAATGAAGAATTTCATTTCTAGTTGTTCTACTGTCTAAACACTGTATGACTCATTATACCAGACCATAAAATGGATCACTGTTCCCTCATAATTGAGAAATTGTTAAAATGTTTAAAATTTAGCCTTAGAGACTCTAATTCTACCTATTCTACTTTCTTCAACATTAATGAACTCACCTAGTCAGCCCAGGAGAGACTCCTGAATGAACAATAAAGAAGGCCAAAATTCTATCGCAAGATTATTCCTCCCATTGTGGACTTTCTCATCTGCTTTTTCCGCCTAAAACCACAAAGTCAGAATGTTCATTCCTTTCTATATATGTCTATTTGAAAAATGGTTGTTCCTGTCTACGAAGTCTTGGCTTACTTAATGCCAAGTGAACTTAGGATTCTTTCTTTGTTGATGATTGTGTTGGCTATGGATTGTCATCTTACTATCATTTCTTATTAGTTGACTAGAGGCCCAGGGCATAAAAATTTGTGCACTCTGGGGGGTCCCTCAGCCCGGCCAGTGCCCTCTTGCAGTCTGGGACCCCTTGGGGGATGACCACCTGCTGGCTTAGGCCCACTCCTTGGGGGACTGGGCCTAAGCTGGCAGTCAGACATCCCTCTGGCAGCCTGGCAGCCCTTGGGGGATGTCCACTTGCCAGCGGGGAGCAGGCCTAAGCTGCAGTCGGACATCCTTAGCGCTGCTGAGGAGGTGGGAGAGGCTCCCACCACCACCGCTGTACTGGCAGCCATCAGCCTGGCTTGTGGCTGAACAGAGCTACCCCTGTGGGAGTACACTGACCACCATGGGGCAGCTCCTGCATTGAGCATCTGCCCCCGGGTGGTCAGTGTGTGTCATAGTGACCAGTCATCCCAGTCGCTCTGCTGTTAGTGTCAATTTGCATATTACCCTTTTATTATATAGGATAGAGGACTGATGCATGGGTGGGGGCCAGCTGGTTTGCCCTGAAGAGTGTCCCGGATCAGGGTGGGGGTCCCTCTTGGGTGCCTGGCCAGCCTGGGTGAAGGGCTGATGGCTGTTTGCAGCTGTTCACACCCTCTTCAGGGTGGGGGTCCCCACTGGGGTGCCTGGCCAGTCTGGGTGAGGGGCTGAGGACTGTTTTCAGGCTGGCCAAGCCCCCCTGGCGACAGAAGCTCCCAGCCCCTCCTTTTTTTCCTTTTGTTTTTAATTCTGGGATTCATTTACCTTCTATAATTGAAACTTTGTAGCCTGGAGTGGAGCTCAGAGCAAACCAAGGTAGGCGGGAGGGAAGCTTGGCTTCCTCCATCACCAGGGGCAACCCAAGGCTCCAGCTCCGTGGCCACGGCCCGCTGAAAGCAGGTATCTGGATTATTTATCTTCTATAATTGAAACTTTGTTGCTTTGAGTGGAGCTCAGAGCTGGCAGCAGCAGGCGGGAAGCTTGGCTTCCTCCATCACTGGGGCAACCAAGCCTCCTGCTTGCTCTAGCTCTGAGGCTGCTGGCCGCCATCTTGGTTGGGTTAATTTGCATATAGTCACTCTGATTGGCTGGTGGGCATGGCTTAAGGCATAGCGAAGGTACAGTCAATTTGCATGTTTGTCTTTTATTAGTGTAGATTTATTAGTGTAGGTGTGTGTGTGTGTGTGTGTGTGTGTGGTGAGTCAAATGATAAATAATTCAACCTCAGGTCAACAAAATGATTTAAATCCCTATCTTTGTAGAGCCATTTAAGATGAAAACATGTAAACCAGGTACTATGAAATAATGAAGGAAACATAATTCATCAAAATGTTAGTCTGCAGTGATGAGGCTGGATGCTAAGTTTGGGCAAAGATAAGACATCTTACAACATATTAGACATACAGAAGCCGTGTGCCCAAGTATTTGTGGCATAGATAATTTTGCAGGAGACTTCATGCCTCCACTGAGAGAACACCTTTGATATTTATGATTCATCTCCAACTCAAAATTCACTTTGGTTTTTATGTGCCCAGTTCTCCCAATCTTCATGCCTAAGAGAAAGAAAAAACGCAATTGGTTTCCATAGATATATTATCACTCTTTGCATATTATCATGCAATTGAACATTTTAATTTCAATTGTCTGCACATTTAAGTGTATCAATAAATTGTTCTCATCAGCTTTTCCCAAGTAGATGACATGTCCAGAGTGGTGTTACTTTTTCCAAAGTCTAGTTGCTTTTAAAGTTATTATATGAGAGGTAAGGAGATATCTTGCTTGTATTGACATAGATAACCAAGGCAATATGGTCCAGCCTGCATGAAAAGTGAGTACTAATCAATATACTGACTGAGAGCCAACTATTCTTTCTTATCCAACTAAAATTCTATGCTACATAACAATTATGTAAAAGATGAAGAATTCATTTGGTTTTCTGGTTATAATCTATAGCCTGTCTATTCTGTTTCCCACTAAATAACTGCTAATTTTGTGCTATTTAACAAAACAATTGTGATAGAGAATGAGAAAATAAAGTGAGTTTCAAATAGTGTCTATGACAAGACTTCTGAAATACGGAGGAAATTTTGACCTTGAAGGAAGTGGCTAGGTCAAGAGCACTATGCCAAAATCAAGATGGGCCAGGTATCCTCTGGCATACAGTCCCCAGGATGTTCCCATTTCTCTGCCCACCACATTAACTTTAATGTTTTTGGGGATACTCTCCTGGTCCATGACCCTTCCTCTGTATTTTTTGTCTATGCAATTTAACCCATAATCATGACTTCTGTGGATACTAGGCAGGTTTGTGTTCTTGCCCCAAACATGCCTCCAGAGCTGCATGCCCTTATTTCCAACTGGCCCAATGGCCTTGCAGAGGCCACTTTAGGTACTTCAAATGCAATGTGACCACCTCTGAAGTCTTTATCTTCCTCCTCTCTAATCAGCTTTCCTTCCTTTCCTTCTGGGAATGAATCTACCTCATTCCCATTGCCCAAGCCGACCTCCTTCTTCACCTATTTCCACTGCTCTGACTTAGGCCCTTATCACCTCTTACTTGATCTAATACAATAGCATCCTCACTATTACCTGTCTCTAGTTTCAAACAACACTAATAAACCCCTCAAAATATTTTTCCAGTATGAAAATTGTAGTAAGTGTTTCCTTTGATAAAAATTCTTCAAGATCTCACCATCCCCCAGGACAAAATCTTAACTCCACCAAGTTCTTCATAAATCTAGATACTAATTCTCAAATCATCACCATCTTCTTAATTTCACCACTTTTAAGATGTTCATGTTTTCACATTTTATCAAAATAATACATACACATAGTTCTAAAAATCAAGTAATACAGAGATCCCATAATTAAGTTATCTCTTCAATTCTCTCCTCTCCCAGTCCAGATCCCCAGAGAAAGCACTTTCCATCACATGTTCCTAATTCTTCCGATGTTTACTAGTATATTAGTAGATGATAGATTTCACTATCATTTTTTAACTTTAGGGAGCCCCTTACCTGCATTCTCTGCCTCCTCACAATATAGTCATATTATCTATTTATCTCTCTACTGATCACCTTTTTGAACTTCAAATACTAAAGCTAAAGTTTAATTGCTTATATCAACTGTAGATATTATCTTTCAAACCTTCAGATTGTAATATGAGGATCTGAGTCTTCTTACCTTTCCCTTCACCTCTTCCTCCCCCCCGCAACCCCAACCTCTTCTAACTTGTCATGTGCACTTTTACTTTTACAATCTTTATATAATACTAGAGGCCCGGTGCACAAAAATTTGTGCACTCAGGGGGGTGGGGGGGTCCCTCAGCCCGGCCTGTGCCCTCTCTCAGTCTGGGACCCCTCAGGGGATGACCACCTGCTGGCTTAGGCCCGCTCCCTGGGGAATTGGGCCTACAGACATCCCTCTGGGAGCCTGGAAGCCCTCAGGGGATGTCCATTTGCCAGAGGGGAGCAGGCCTAAGCTGCAGTCGGACATCCTTAGCGCTGCTGAGGAGGCAGGAGAGGCTCCCA